ATATTGTAAGTCAAACAACACATTGTTTTCTGGCCTGTGTTGTTATAATTTTTTTCTGTTTTTTCTTTTGTTATCACTTAAATTATCTGTTAAAGGAAGCAAGTCTTAAGTACTTTTAAGAATCTTGCAGCATACTCTCAAGTGTGTTTGGAAACTTCAGTAATTACAATTGTATTGGTATCTCATTCTCTCAAACAGCAGTATGAGAAACAAGTATTCACATTTAATTTAGCATACTATTTTTTTTATTGTTTTACACCATGATTTTAGTGACTAACACTAAAATTCAAGGAACAAAATGACTTGATGTTCAAGACACTTACTCATTCTAAAACACCACCTTACTTGCCCACAAAGAACAGGCATCCAAGCCTACTCATGTTTGTCCTTATTTGGCACAACCCCCCCCCCTAAAATACAAAACTCAATTGAGCCTAAACTATGTACTTAGGATCAAAGTCTCGGTTCATGAAGGCTTCTGCATTTATTTTTTCAGAAGCTGCAATGTTTGTTTGCCTGCTTTTTGATTTCCATAGCATGGAAGGACCTTTGACACAACATGCTAAATTGGGGAACTTTTGAAAAATGGCAATGTCTTTATAGCTTAATTTCACAGATCTCAAGAATGATATAAGCCCCATTCCCCCAATCCCATCATGTATATTAATGTTATCATGTCCATTCATTATCATATATCTAATGAAAACAGTCTCATGTTATCCCTGCATCATTTTAAATGCAGAGTATCAAACACAGTAGGACAAACAATATATATAAAATAATAATATTAGATAAATTTACTATTTAGAATGGACTCAGAATTTTACTAATTTATGACTTGAAACTGTTTGGTTTTAACTTAAACTTCTCAGGTGGGGGGAGCCCATCAGCTACCCCTATCTAGCACCTGTCAACTCATCTGACAGGTGACTCATACAGCCATGCAGGCTGGACAGGTTTAAACAACCCAGCCTTGGGCTTCATCTCTCAGCTCTTACATGTCACATGTTCAAATTAATGTACAATATTTGTTGTGGGATATCTTTGTGGCTGGTTTGCCATTTATCATATCATAAATTGCTTGCAGGTATGGCATTTTACAATTCATGGTGTGATTAATGTGTCACTTGTGCCATACATATAAAAATGTCTCAGATACTTTTAAAATGCCTGTTACTTTAATGTCTCAGTTTGGAAACAATAACGTTAAAAGAAAAAGTGTCTTCAACTTCTTGCATTTTTGGTGTGCAAATGGTCATCTAATTCGCACTGTGTTGTTTTTACTATCTAACTGGGAAATAAAATTTATAGGCAAGGAGAGAGAAATCAAAGATACTGCCGTATGGTCACATATCTGACTCTAGTGTGAAAATATAGTCAAAACAAATAATTGTGAACACATTCTCTTTTTGAGACTTCTTGAAAATGGGGGGTGGGAGTGGGGAGAACAAACAAAAAACCCACAAACAAAAATCACTTTCATGAATGTTTGCAGGGAATGAATAAAAAGGGAGATTAATATTATCAAAACAATTTCACATTTCCTATCCCAATTAAAATTTTCAGTTTTTACAGTATGTGTTGAGATATGGTAGTACTTTTATCAATAAATCATAAAGACAACAGATATATAATAAGGCCAACTTTTTGCAGGATTGCTTTGTTATGTGAACCTAACTTCACAATAAGATGTTGCTTTCTTTTAGTCTCTGATTGTACTCATTGTTAGAAAGGAGATTATCATTTTATCTCTTTGGTGGGGGCCTATGATTTTAGTATAATTTCAGTATATCCTGAATATAGAGAAGTGGATGAATCATTTGGAATGAGTTAATTTCTCCCATAAGTATATATTCTCCCTTTGATACACTCACAAAACTCTGCTTACTAATTGAGGTAGAATACTCCACTTCAGTTTCCAAGAATGCCCTGTGGTACTCTTCATTATATTAACTTAGCCAGCAAAATGCCAGAGGTCATAATTTATCAAACAAAAATGAAAAGAAACTAATGATTTTGCTTATATAAAGAATAATCTGCTAGCTTGAAATAAGACATCAAAAAGCAGAAATCATGAAAAGGAAATAAATACATCTTGGGCCAGATTTTCAACTGGTGTACATTAGCATAGCTTTATTATATGGCTGAATATCTGACCCTTAATCTTGACAAGGACACATTAGGGTACAGGGAATATTTTCTATAATTATAAAGTAAGAATTCTGTGTGGCATGAACATGTAGTAGAAATCTGAAGTAATAATACCATGTTATGTAACAATATTATTGAACATACACTGAAAGGGACAAATGCTCAGATAATTATGTTACTTAAAAACGACAGATGATGGATTTTTTAGATTAGTACTACCAGAATAACTCCCTACATGCTAAAATAATAAAGTGGTGTTATTCTGAAGACAGGTCACGATCCGGCCATATTGACTTTTATGAGTATACAGTGCATAATCATTTAAGCTCTACTCACACACAAAAAACCTATTAATTTCAGAATGACTAAGTATGTGAATAAAGGTTGGAAAACTGCATGGTAGCCCTGTTGGCTGATACACAAAGGTGGTGATTAGAGAAATTATACCTGGTTAATATAGTAAAAATATGGTATTTACTCATGTATAACATATTTCTTTCCCCTGAAAAATCATCCATGCAAGATTAAGGTGTGTGCATTAAGCAGAGAAGCAGATTTTCTGCCCTGGATAGAACCATCCTGCTTAATTCCAGCTCCATAGTGCTGCAGCTGTAGTATTACTATTCAGGGAGCTGCAGGAATCAGTTGACTTAATGGATCATTGTTCTCCACTGCAGAGGTGTTAATGACTGCCTCTCCTTTTTAATAGTCTTGATATTTCACTAATCAAGCTAACATATTTTAAAGTAATTTTGCTATCTGCTAGCTGCACCTGGTTTCTGTCCTCCTATTTCACAGACTAAGCAGGAAACGGAGAGTGAGCTATCTGAAGATTAGGCTCTGCCCCTGCTCTATTCAACCTCAACTCTGAATTTCTTTTTTCATTCTGCCTTTAAAAATAAGGTCCATATTATATTTTGGGGTATATCATACATGAGAAAATATGGTAATTTTGTAAGTAAAGAGTATAATAATAATAATAACTAGATTGCGCAATTGAGGTAACATAATATAATGTTTCATTCAAAAGTTTATATACAATTCAGAAACATTAATACTCACTTTACTAGACAAATGTACCCCTCTGTGTTCTTTGTTTCTCTCAGGTCAGATTTTTATAACAATTTTCCAATTTTCTAGCATAGTCACCATTTTTATCTGTGCCTAAGTAGAAGTTCATAAAAAATGTTTATTGTTTTTTCTAAATAATTTCCATCCAACAAAACTTCGTTAATTTTTGTTCTAGGCATATTTCTTATTGACATTATCTTTCTCTTTTTATCTTTTTAAATATATAAGCTACCATTCTCACAGCTGTATATAACTATAGAATTTCTAAGCCTGCAAAAATGGCTTTATCTTTATAAATATGTTTTATAGAAGCTTGTCATTCCATTTATCACAGCGCCTCTTCCTACAAAACTGTCTTTTTATATCCAAATAAACTGATGGATATTCTGAGCATCTCACTTTAAATTCTCTGAAGTTTTTCCAGTAATGCTTTTAGTAATGTAATGATTATTGTGTGGAGTGCAGAAAGAGTACGTTGCTAGGGTTTACCATCAGGATGTAATTGATTATCAAGCCATAGCTCTTTTTCCTATTTCCTAAAATACAACATTTTAGCTTTTTTTGTTCCAAGCATCTTATTGAAGGTAGGCAAATAGATTCTGTGTGTTTTATGGTCCATTTCTGTGAAGGTTTATTAACAAAGCACGTTATCAACATTCGTAGGCCACGATGTTTGTTTCCTGAAACAGAAACAAATCATAACTTTCTCACCAACAAAGCTGTCTGCCACAGATATGCAGGTGGACAGAACCTTGCAAGGTTAACCTGTGCAGGAATTAGTGCCTTCATACAACCAGAACCTCTCTCTGGGTTCACTCATTGGACATTATTAATACTTCTACAGTAGCACTTCCAGTTTTGAGAAGACTTATTACCAAGTACTCTGCTGATTAAAACTTTAGTTTCTATTAGTTTAGTTTCTCTGTTGTAGCAAGAACCTCAGCTTCAGTTACAATGTCAGAGCACGGTAGGTGAAAAAAATTTCTAGAACAAATGTCAGCAAGGGATAATTCTAAAGGAACCTTTTGATCTACAGCAACACCAACCGGAAGATACTACTGAAATAGTTTATTTTGTTGGTCATAGTTGGTATCCCTATTGGCAGTAGTGGGGAAGAGAAAAAAACAAAGTAGAAGTAAAAGATAAAATAACTCTTTTATTTTATTTCCCATAAATTATCTCAACATGAATTTAGCTACAAAGAAATTAAAGCTGAAGAAAAAGTGAAGGATTAACAAAATTTAGGATGTCATACTTTTCACCCTTTAAGAAATGTGAAATTAGTGCATAAAAAGTATAATGCTCTACTCTTTTAAAATGGTTAGTTGCTGTGTTTTCCATAAAGTGGACTCTCATACATTTTTTGCATCCTAACTAACACTTCCCTCACTTTTATTAATAAAGACAACTTAACCATTCAAAATAAATTGTTACCTCTAACCCTAAACAAAACCATTGTCCAATCTGGCAGTTCCAGTTTTTCTAGCTGTAGGCCCAATTTCAGGAAAGCTACTGCATTCTGGAAGGGTAATTAAACATGCACTTAAGCAGATGTTTGAATCCACTGGGAACAATTTTGAGAGGGGACAAGTACCTTCAGGCAACATGAGCTAAGAGTACCACCCTGGAAAAAGATATTTATTGGCTTATAACAATTTGTAACACTTATTACTCTTTGCTTCAACTGCCACTGAAACAAGTGATGTCCATAACCCCCCCCTCAAATGCACTGAAAAGTCACAGTAACTAAATCATAGTAAAAAAAAAAAACAACTTACCATCTTGATCTGTGGTAACTGTGATAGCTGTGAACTGCTTGGGAGAGAAACTCAGCTCTGAAACTCCATTCATGGCTTCTATTTCAAAGGTGTAATTCACATGAGACACAAAATCAAGTACAGTCACAGAGGAGTTGATCAGGCCTGTATGTCTTGGGATGAAACGGATGCCTCCACCACATATCTCACATTGGCTGGTGTCTGACCCACACTTTTTGCAGATTACACTGTAGGTTAGATCTTTTCTCCCTCCTGTGTCACTGGGCGGGCTCCATTCCAACATAAGGGCTGTTTCATTAATGTTAAAAATCACATTCCTTGGAGCAGAAGGCGGCCCTAAAGAAAATAAGAGCCAGTTAAACTGTAGGTGTGATAAATAAAAAATCCACGTTAAGTATGCAATTAGGGCACTGGGGAATCAAAAATGCATGTTGCTTATTTTATTTCCGTTATGATCAGCTTTTTCAATATCTTTCCAGTGTTATAGAAGATTTTAAATAAATTAGACAAAAACCTTCGTACATGTATAAAAGGAGTGATTCTGCACAGCCAGGAAGATAGACTAAAATCATTTTTATTTTTTAATCTATAATTGTTATGATTCTACAGCTCATCCAGAAGATGGAAGCTCTGTCAGCACAGCTCTGAGTAGTATTCTGGGAGACTATTCAGAATTGATTCACAGGAAAATCATGCCTTTTGATGACCCACCCACACCATGATCATTATTATTAGTGATTATTAGTAGTAATTAATGTAGAACTGAGAGCAGAATTTAATGTTTAAAATTTAATGCTTAATTAAAAAACATTAAATAAAATAATATAAATAACATTTATATATATTATAATATAATATATATAATATATATATAATTATATATATTATATATATATAATATAATATATATAACATTAAA